CATGTGGCAAAGGTGCTACAGTAAAGAGGAAGTTGTAAAAAAAGAAAAGTCAAGGTAAGCCACTTTGTTCTCAGTTTGTCAGGAAATAAAAATTGTTAGTCACCCCACTGGTGCCAACTCCATGGCTTGTGTGACTGTTAACACATCTAGCAGAGCATCTAGACAAGGAAGAGAGTAGGGATATGATTTTCTTTTTCCTGGCATTTTCACTCTTTGAGTGGATCATCCTAAATATTGACATCATCCTCAGCAGTTAATATATTTTAATTTTTAATATGGAAAATCCTGTAATTCCAGGAAAGACACCATACAAGTGGAGTTCCACTGGTGTAAGCAAGGTGATGACCATAACCCTAAATTTGCCTGCTCTAGAGGAGTCCTTTTTTTCAGCTCTTCCTTTTGATTTCTGTCTTAGAGCAACTCAAAGAAGGTAATCTTTGGTTTTGCGTCTTCTACAATGTGTTTTCATCAGCAGAATTAAAAAGGATGTGGGAGAGGAACGTTTTGATTGTGCTTTTAGCACAGATGTCCCAAGTTACATATTTATTATTTTTTTTTTTTTCCTCTGAAGTTCCCCTGTCGTGCTACAAAAAGTATGGGCCTGTTTTTGGAAACTTGACAAGCAAATTCATGTTCTAAGGCTATCTAAAGGGAAGATAAGATAGTCTTATCCTCAGGGCAGAGACAGCTCCTCAAAAGGCAGTAGAGCTGAGCAGGAAAATGAGTATTTTTCTTACAACTGGAACTTTGTTTTTTTTTTTCCTCATGTGTTGCAAATTCTTGGATTCTTCTGAAAATATTCTACTGAAGACTTTCTCTTGAACTTTTGTTACCTTCTCTTTTGCCTTTCTGTCATTCATCTTGTTGTTGTGCCTCTCTATCTCTTCCATGAGTATCTAGAATAATAGAAAAACTGTGTTTGTCTAGACTAGGACTGTAGACATAACTGACCTGATGGTGTTCGAGTTAACCCTTGAGATAAAAGTTCCCTTCAGAGTCCAGTGAAGCAACCCAATGACAGGTTTTATTAATTTAGGCTCACCACCAGGGAGTATTACTCTTCAGTGTGAGCTGTTCAGTCAACACCATTGTTAGTATTGCACAGAATGTCATTGCTAGAGAGGGTCAAAGGTAATGTCGAAAACCTCTGCATCACTCTTCATTGTGAGATGTGGATACATCTCTCATGTTTGCATCTGTTGACAGCTGCATTTAGTTTTGGACCTGGCCATGTCTTTTTTGTGTGTGTGTAGTCATAGAAATGCAACTTTGTTGGTAGCCTCTCCATAGTAAATGAAACATGCAGGTAATTTGTTATTCAGCTCTTAAAGTAGCTATGAATGCGATACGTTGGCTTGTTATATGGATATTGAAAACTTCAGAAAAACTGTTGTTTTTTAAATGTATATGCAGTGCATGGCTGACTGTTAGCAATTAAACTCTGCTTTTAACCAGTGTAATTATTTAATGCCTTTTATTATCTCTCTTCTTTTCTCTTGCTCTTGGCAATTATCTTCTTTCTTTTCCACTGAGTTTACTAGTAGATACTAATCTGACTCCCAGCACAGAATTATGAGCTTTCTGAATTTTCAGTACAAGGAGTTTGTGACTCAGCTTATTATAACACTACTTTTGTGCAGCACAGTTTCTTCCAATGGATATGCAAAGACGGTGTGTACTTAAATGCTGTTTTACTTTGATACAGAATTTTGTTTCCCTTTCTTTTTCTGTTTTTATTACTGTTGCTAACATGAGTTCCCAAAATAATAATTTTTTAAAATCCTGCAAAATTCTCAACAATTCTTTCCCGTTTGAAATATATAATGCACATGTTTACAAATGGTTTTGAATATGAATATGCAGGAGTATTTTCTGCCAATGGACTGCAAAAATGGTTGTAATTTCTTAGCAGGGAGATAATTTTCACTCATGTGAAATGTAATCATTCTCTTGCAGGAACATGTACATTGTGCAGTAGAATGAGATCCTATTAAATATTTGCAAATAATGCAGCACATTTTCCTGTATTGTTCTATCTGAAATTTCTTTATATTGTACTGAAAGTATTGTAACTACAATTACAAGAAATAAAGAGCTAGACTGTGATCTCTTGTGGTAAGTGTAAGGGGAATAAAAAAGATATTACCTGACAGCATGCCAGTCCTTTGTAGCAAATAGGGTAGGGGTTGTTTGGAAAAAAAAAGACACCTCACACACATCATAATCCTGAGTTTAAATGCATTGTGTATGGGAGTGCTTAGGGACTGACTTCAGAGTTACATAGGTGACCTTAATTTAGGAACTGCATATCTTTTGAGGGATTGACTTTTTTACATTAGTAGCATCATTTTTCATTTATTTTTCTTTTGAGAGTGATACACTTCCAGATAAAACTTACCATTTAATTCTATTGCATTACAGGAACTCCTACATTTGATCTGTAATCCTGTAGTGTACTAATTTTTATTGAAATTAAAAAAATAAAATATTTAATCTTTCCTCTCTCTTATTCTGTTTATGCATATATTTTCAGATATGATTCTGGACCAGCAGGTGGGTTCTGGGCAGCTCAGTGAGGATGTTCGTCACAGAGTGCATGAGGCATTACTGAAACAGCATCACCATCAGAACCAGAAGAAGCTGAGCAACCGGATCCCAATTGTGAGATCCTTTGCTGATATTGGAAAGAAGCAGTCTGAGCCCCATTCCATGGATAAAAATGGTAATGCATTGTTTTATTTTGCATTTTGAGCTTTCAGAGCTTTACCTGCTTGTTCAGGATCACATGCACTTTGTACCCACAACTTGAACTCAGTGTGAATCTGCTCTGAAAAGCTACTGTGTAAAAGTGGTGCATTCTACATGAGAGTGGTTTCTTTTATGCATTCAGTAGCACACCTATTTAAATGTGAAATTCAGGTATCCTGCACAATACTGGGCTGTGCAGAGATACTCAAAGGGACTAGCTCAGGTATTGGAAGCAGGGTAGCTGTGTTAGCGTGACATTCTGTCCTGGGTAATTGGCATGGCACGTTAGCCATGGTGCAGCACAGCTCAAGTACACTTGTGGTGCTTTAGGCACTCTGTGCGATCCTTCAGACTGAGCTTGAGCATCTTTGCACAGTGTTGCTCTGAACTGTCGATGTGCTCTGTTAGTGCCAGAAAAGTGATTTGACTATTTTTGACTTCTGTTGACTATTCAGGGCCTATTTAGTTAAAATGTAATGGATTGTTGGAATAGTTCCTAAGTGTATGACAGGGTATGCATTAGCTGGTGTTCAACTAGTGCTTCACATTTCGTAGCTGAGTTTGAGACACTGAAAAATGAGAAAAACATTTTCAAGATTACACTGTTAGAGAGATGAAACAAGAAATGCACCTTGTTCTTTCAGAAAATTGCTTTTTGGAAAATCTTGTAAATGAAAATAAGAGAGGATGTTTGCGGAGTGGTTCTACAGTAAAATATTGGTTTAACTTTTTTCTTTCTTGCTTTTACAGAAACCTTTCTAGGCTGTACTGTTTTTGTAGGTTAATAATAATGAACGATAATTTCTGATTGCCCCTTCTTTATTTACATAAACACAAGCTTGTGTTATGAAACTTGCAGCCAAATTTTGCAAATATTTACAATTAATTCACTAGAATTATACATTGCAGAATTACTGAGCCTCTATCCACTATCATCACAATACCCACATTTTTGTCTGAACACCATTGGACTATAATGACTCTTATTTCAGAAATCACCTTAGCTTTAATGAAATCTCAGTCCCTTCTGCTGTCTCTCTGGTTCAGGGCCCTTTTGAGCGACCCTGTCACCCTGGGAAGTGGGGAGTGAATTAACAGCCATAGCACAGGGAAGGTGCAGGGTGCAAAAGGCAGTTGTGTACTGTGACACATAGGGCAGAAGGGTAAAGAGTAGTAGTGTGACTGATCTGGAAAAATTAGGCTGTTGGTATAAAGGTTAACTTTGGTTTCAGGGAATGACCCGTTGTTTCAGTCATTGCCATATGAAGTTTTAATAGGTACTTCTAAATCTAGCCACTTCCCCGAGGAAGACTCGCATCTAAAAAAGCAACGTATAATTTCATCTGAAGAGGTTATTAGTTAGAAATATACAATTAGATCAAAATACAATTTTAATTAGTAAAGAAAAAATAATATTTATTAAGATGTGTGTGATTATGCATATAGATGCACAAGAGTAAAAGTAAGTAGGATGATTTTCCATAATTTTTAAGGCAACTTCTCTGTTGATTTGTGCAACTCTTGCAGATGACTTTAAACAAATATTCAGGGAACACTTAAGAAAGTTAGTGCTATAATACTCCTATTCCTCAGTTTCCACAGGATGCAAGATGGTAGCTTGCATTCTGTAAGCTTTTTGCACAAGATCTTATATAACAAATAAGCAGTAGGTCTCCTTAAAAAGACCCCTCAGGGGAAGCTGTGAAAGTATCTTAAGCTCAATTTCAGTAGCTTTCTGTGTCTGTTACTGGAACTGATGCAGTAATTCACTCCAGAAACATCTCACTTGTACCAAAGTTTCTTCTACGAACCTTCATATCTCTGTCTAATTCCCCCCAAAATAGATTCTGGTCAGGACAGCATCTAAGTCCATATTAAACACACTAATTTTATATACTCAGTGGTTAAGTGATTCTGTAAGTTAGTGAGGCACACAGGTGTTCATTTGTCTGTGCGTATTTTGCAAAATGAAAACTACTGGATTCCAGTTCATGTGCTTATGTAAAGATGCCTCAGAGCACTCTAACCCCTGGTTAAAAATATCACTTAGTCACTTTCACTATGTTAATTTAAATTAAGTTAAATGTGCCATAAACAATACAAATATAAATAATTTTACGAACATTTATACAAAGGTAAATCAGCTTTTTATCTCAATTACAGTGAAGAGTTCTGAACCCAGTCTTTTTGGACACAGATGTCTTTAAATTAGTTTGAAGCATTACTCTTCTACTTGCATCTTTATGTACTAGTGAACATTTGGCAGTCTCCTGCACTGTCCTCTTCAAAATGGATGATGGCCCTGTGATAAAGCAAAGAGGGATTGGTTTATTTTAAGTTTCTCTCTTACCATCCATTACCCTGTTACGTTAAAAGTCTGAATCTTATTTTATTGGCTGAATTGTACTAAAATCAGTGTTAGCTTTAGAAGAGGAAAATTCGGTCTTAACTTTTTGGTTTTGGAAGGAATCAATTTTTTTCCCCTTTTCAAGACAACAGCAAATAAGCGGCTCAATGGACTTGAGTGGCAACTATTGCCCCAATACTCTGGGATTAAAGGACTGGGGAAAGGGATGATTCTGGAGAACTGCCTAATTTCAGGCACACTGACTACTACCTCATACTTTTAGTTTTTTCTTTCTCCTGGGTAACTTGTCATAGTACGTGGTGTGTAAATTATGCAGGAGTATACACTGAAATGCTCAGCTTTCAAGAATTCTGCTGTCCTTAGAAGCTTGGCCAGGGGTAGCAGTGAGGTTTCTGAGAATTTTCTTCTGCTATTGCCTCATGACCCAAATGCTAGAGTTCAGCTACAGTGTTATGCTCACTGCAGCTATGTATTTCTCTTTTAGACTGCCATGGAGCGTCTGTACAAGCTTCTTCTAATAGTACAAAAATAAGTTGTTAAAACATAACTTTGGATCAGGTGAAAGCAAAAGAAAAATCAGCTTAATATGTGTAAAAGAAAGCAAAATTAAGGGCTGTAAAGACCTTCTATTATAGTGAAGAGTGTGCTGCGAGACACATCTTTGTTTCCTGAGGACAAACTGGTAAAATGCAATCAAGGCATCATTTTAGTCTGATTATTCCCATTTGTTCACAAACATTGTGTAGAATGTATGTACATAAAATTTTCCCTATATTGACAACAGTAGCAATATTGTCCTCTCTTTAATACAAAAATGCATTAAAATAGTAAAATATTTTATTATTTCTTTTACTTTCTGGATGAGAAGCTTAATTCCTAGAAGACTGCAGGGAGAAAACCAGATCATGTCAGGTACTACTGATGAGCTTTTACAGTTCAGTTCCCCCCTATCAGAGATCAGAGTTTGCAGGAACAGCAAGTGCCAGGAGCTTTAGAAGGGCCACTTACTTGTCCCTGTTGAAAGGAGGCGGGGGAACTCGGACACCTTTTCTGCACAAACGGAAATTCTTGATTTGGTTAAATTTGGGTTTTGTGTAGACAGTTTAACTGATAACAGCCCTTAGCAGTCTGTAGTTTGTAAAATAGGTGGCTCGGAGCCGTAAGTCCTTGCCATCTGGGTTATGTGGTGCAGCTGAGGATGCAGAGCACCTTCTTGTCCAAGTTTTGACTGTGCTAGCTTATCAGTGTATCAGTTCCCAGATATTCTGGAACAAAGTCTGAAAATGAAGACATAAACTTAAATTCAATATATGACTGTGCTGCTGACAGCCCACTGTGATGTCTTTGCTGGAAGACAGTTGTACATATGTTCTCTCTTTATTTTTCCTTTGTTTAAGTGTCTATTAGACTATCTAATTAATTTGCTTTGTATTTAGTAGTATTGTCTTTTGTTTACAATGGCTTTTCTTCACATCCTCTGCAGGGCTAAGATGTCAGGGTGCTATGGATTTATGATGCATTTTTAATGCTGACATGCTGTGTTTAACTTTCACTTTTCATTAAGCATCAAAACTGTGAGAATTAAAAGCCTGCTTTTGATGTTCCAATAAAAACCAACAGTCAAATTTGGCATAAGAGTAGGAAAAATGGTAATTTTTTTTTTTAAAGTCTAATTTGACACCAAATACCCAAAATAGTAATTGGCAAGTAATTTTAGCATACACACTGTAAAAGGCAGGTAAAAATATGTTTTTGTCATTCATAAATCATCTTTAGAAAGTTTGGTTTGTAAAGCAATTAATCTTATTTTTATTGAGATCAATAGGTTTTTCACTCTGATACCAGAGAACTCTGTCTGTAAATTCCTATGAAATGGTCTAAAAAGCCAAAGACAATTGCAAATGTACAACACCTTTCTATTGTTAGAGGAATGCTAAAATAATTTCAGAAGCCTCTTCCCTTTTATAAAAGCTTCTGCGATTCAGAATTTAAGCGTGTGTGGCATGGAAAAGTAACTGATTTGATGAAAATGTAGTTAGGAAAAGCGGTTTTCATAATGTAATTTTTTTTGGATTTTTGACTGGCTATTTCACTTTTAGTCTAGACTTCAAAGTACGTGTGTGTATATACGTGTATATATATTGAGGTCTAACACCTTTTACTGGTTAAAGTTGAAGAGGAAGGAACTAGAGCAGAGGAGCATTGCAGGATGAGTGACTTGTAAATTGTATTTCCATGTACCTTTCTGAAGTGTTCTTTATCCATAACAACGTGATCTTGTGCCCATTTTCTGTTCCATACCTATGCCATTTATAACTGCTTCTTCTCCCTTGATGCCAGAGCAGACACATTATTAGTGTAAAAATTGCATTATGCCACACACCATGTCTGATTTTGAGAAGTTCTGAAATTTCAATGAGAGGTTTATCAGTATGCCAATGAGCTTGAAGAAAGCAATGGCATATTAAATTGGACATCTTCAGAGTTAACAGCGTGAGCTGCTGGAGCAGTTCATTTTGACATGTTCTTTTTCAAGCTTTTTCCCAGTTTTTTGGAGTTCTTCGTTGTTTTATGTCAGTATGAGCACATGTGGAGGTGTTTAAGAC